TGCCCCCCTCTCCACCTTTCCTTCCCCCTCCATAACTCCCCACCTCCATCACTCTCCACCCCTCCCCTCCCTCCTCATTCTCCACAACTCCCCTCTCCACAACTCCCACTCCCCTCCATCACTTCCCCCTCCCTTGATCACTCTATATCTATACCTCTCCCTCCCCCTCCCTTTAATATTATATGTAGTAAAATAAAATTATGTAGTCTGTTTCAATACACCTTAGTTTTCTTCATTTATTAGTGTTTAAGTTGGAACTTTGCAGATTAAGTCTGGACTTGTGATTCTATGATAATAATTGTGGAATTGGGACTTATTCCATCTGAATTCCATATGGAAAAAGTATGGATTCCATCTAAAAAAGTATGGAGTCCATCAGCTATTCCATGGATTCCATCTGAAAGAAGTATGGAGTCCATCAGCCATTCCATGGAATCCATCTCCAGAAAGTATGGAGTCCATCAGCCATTCCATGGAATCCATCCCCAGAAAGTATGGAGTCCATCTGCCATTCCATGGAATCCATCTGGAATTCCTGGAATCCACCCCCCTTCCCTGCATTCCATATGGATTAAGCCGGGGAGGGTAAAGTACAGCTCCCACTGCACACCACTCCCCCTCTCCCTCATTGCAGCACTCCCTCTCCCTCTCTCTTATTGCCTGGCACCCCTCCCTCATTGCCTATAACCCCCTCATCCCCTCCCTCATTGCCTAGAACCTCTTCCCCCCCCCCCCCATCATTGCCTACCAGCCCTTTCCCCTCTCCCTATTGCCCACCAAACCCCTCCCCCTCCCCTTCTCTTTATTTCTGTATTTAATGAATGGTCTTTGTAGTAATGTAAATCTATGTAGTTTCATTCAATAAATTGCACCTTTGTCTTCTGCAAGATCTAGTTAAAAGTTATATGTCAAAAAATATATCCTGTTCAGGATATAGTTCAAAAATGTACCTTGGTAATATATCCTGGTTCAAGATATAGCTTAAGAATATATCTTGGTAATATATCCTGGTTCAATATCTTGTTGAATATATATCTTTGTTCAAGATAAAGTTGAAAGATATATCCTTGTTCAAGATATAGCTTGAGAATATGTATTGGTAATATATCCTGGTTCATTATCTTGTTGGAAATATATCCTGGGTCAGGATATAATTGAAATATATGTCTTGTGAATATATCCTTGTTCAAGATAAAGTGGAAAGATATATCTTGGTTCAGCATCTAATTAAAATATTCATGATATAGTTCAGAAATTATGTATCTGGATTCATGATATGGTTAAAATAGATCTTGGTTCAGGATTTAGTGGAAAGATATGTGTGACTCCATACTATGACATTGGTGAACAGAATTTGTTAGAGGAGAATGGAATTTGTTGTCAATAAAGTTACAATGAAGAGTCAAGAGAAAGAGGGAGGAAGGCAGGGAGAGGAGAAGAGGAAAACAGGGAGAGGAAGAGAAGGAGAGAAACAACAAAGAACTTGGTGAACTCTTGTCTGTGAAAGTGGGGTGGGAGAGATGTTTGATATCACATGCAGGGGTTTGACTGGCAGGGGATGGTAATACAGATGTGGGTGAGGTATGCAGATCAGGTGCAACTGGAGAGAGAAAAAGAGAAAGAGCAAAGAACTTTGTGAACTCTGGTTTTTGAAAGTAGGTTGGGAGAGATGTTTGATATCACATGCAGAGGTTTGACTAATACAGATGTAGGTGGGGCATGCAGATAAGGTGCAATTGGAGAGTGAAACAAAGAACTTTGTGAACTCTGGTTTTTGAAAGTGGATTGGACAACATGTTTGATATCACATGCAGGAGTTTGTCTGGCAGGGGATAGTAATACAGATGTGGGTGGGGTATGCAGAT